TTTCCAAACGACCATAGAATAATGAAGTAACTACAATGAAAGACAAGTGTGAAATTAAGTGCAGATAAATAGAAATGAAACATAACAATACATCTCTGTGCGACATATTGTGAGATGAAACCGAGTTTTCTTAAAATCTAATCATTAAATACATAATATATAGTAAGTAATCAAATGTAAAATTATATATAAGATGAAGAAAGATGCCAAAAGTTGCATCGTATATTTAGAATGTGAAAAGGAAATGCGAATATTAATTCGAAAGAAAAACTGATAGGTGTGTCTCCCAGTCTGTCCTTGCAAGAAGCTTAAAGGCATTTAGATGACCGGGAATGAAAATCCAAGTGGCAACAAATTGCATTCATTTTAAGAAGAAATTCATTTGAACACAACTCGTTATATTAATATATGGTTGGCAATCCAAATTAGGAAACTAATTAATGCAAAGTTTACTGTTTGACGGAATAAGTCTTTATATGTAATAACATCAGATATTGTCTGTAGATTTTGTTTTATATGTCAATTGATACGAAATGTTTAAGAGACTGTAGCAATTGACTGAATCTGCTCATCGTCTTTTTTAAGCATCGGACTTTGTGGTATTGAAATCTTTTATGTATTTGGTTTTCATTGATGTGCCAAGAATATGCTAGATGTGGGACCATACAATGATTAAAAGCATTAATTCTATCTAATAATATGAATATTAATGATAATTAATAAACTTGACAAAATAAATAATAACTGCAAAAAACAATAAAGAAAGCATTATTTTTCTTAATTTAATAGTTATAATAAAATATGTGATAACAATAATCAATAATAATTAAACACCCACCAATCAGCAGCTTAGAGTTTTGGGAAACGTTTATTTAATTAACGATCTATTAATGTTTAATTTCCTTCTCTCAGGCAGAGAAATGACAAGCTCTTGTGAATTTCTGCCCAAGTTGAAAGCAGAAGTTGAAGCAATTTGTAAAGGGAAGCAGGTAATGTTTCTTACACAGCTTTCTATCTAATAAGATCCAGAAAGGTTCATGTCTGGTGACTGACTCGCCCGTGGTAGAAATCAAACCCCATTTTCTTCATTCACACCAGAGTCATTATTGCAGTATAGGATAGATGACCTTCTTCCATTAAATATGTGGTATTTCTGCTCATCTTATGAGAGGAGACAAAGTAAATAAGTTCTTCCTGGTGGATCGAAAAGGCCGACTGACCAGAGCACCAACTCGTTCCCTAAAACATCATCGAAAATGACCCGTGCTTGATAGTTAGTTGCAGGTGGTTCTCTAGATTCAGATACACGCCCACTGACGGAGAATTGGGAAAAGGATGATTCTTCGGAAAAAGATGCACCTTGCTATAAGTCAGGACACGTGTTGGATATGCTTATAGATAATTCTTTTCTTTTCTTAATGTTTAGGCACTTACACTTCATAGCTACTGCTATGACGATACCACACAGCTGTTTTGTGACTCACGTCAATGGCTATGTCGGAACACTTCTCTTTTGGGTTACCTTTCATAAACCGTTAAAAAGTACGAATATACAAGTCTGAAGGTTTAGTTTACTGAGAACGTGATGATAAATGTTCTTTTCCTTAATTTTTAAACAGCGTGATGACCCGATTCACTCTAGAAACTTTCCCTTCAGATTGTCCAAAAATTATGTCCTTTAAAAAACTTGACAATTCTGGTGAGCGTCTTGTTTTCGGCATTTCTATGGAGAATAAAAACATCGATTATAAAAATAAGCATTAGTAATTTGTTATATTCGGTAATGCGTTGCTCCCTCATGAGATGGAAAGCTGAAAATAGGGCTGCCTTTTTACATTTCAATTATTATTTTGACATATTATTATCATGATAAATTTAAAGGCACCTTAATATAGAAGTTAATTCAATCTCAAGACACTCCGTATTTACACAATATATATAATAATTATTTGTAGTAAATAAGATGAAATCACTCTGTAATTAACCAAATTCCAATTACATGTAAAATTTAGAATTAGCTATACTAATCCGACTAATCGAACTAAACAACATGTTTCCTAGTATAAAATAAATCTTCTTCATGCATGCTAATTATGTAATATATTTAATTATATCGAAGTAAAGATATGTTCATTTTAATTATATTGAAGTAAGCATATAATAATTTTTAATTATATCAAAATAGGATATGTTCATTTTAATTATATCGAAGTAAAGTTCATTTTTAAAAACAAAAACATTCTACGTAAAAATAAATGTAAAAAATCTATATCTGTCTATATTTCTGAGATGAGGTATTTTAATTATTTAAACTATTTACATTGTTCTGGCTGTTGTCCTCATCTTTATTGTCATATTTACGAAGTTTCGGCCGTAGTACGCCCTGGACTTCTTCAAGTTACATACGTTAGAATTTCGAACCGAACCATTTATTTAGTCCACTGGGCTTAGATTGTTCTGGTTCCACATGGCGTTTTTTTCTGGATATTTCTCTCAATGTTTTTGTTCACCTCTGCTTTTGAAATTAAAAAATCTTTGGATCAAGTTACAACGACTTTATCCACTGGGCTATATGTCCTTGAGGACACATGGCTCGAATTTCCAACCCGAAGAAGGCCACAGCGTACAACGGCTGAAACGTCGTAAATATGACAAAAAAGATGAGGACAACAGTCCGAACAATGTAAATAGTGTAAGAAATACATAATTTAACAAAATAAAGACATCGCTCTTTTATGGAATTCAATGTTTATGAAGCAGTTAGTAATATTTTAGTCTGATTTCCGCTTTAATTCAAACTTCATTGACTTTCCCCTCAACTTTGATCTTCAAAACTTTAAATGTAATATCAATCGTTATCTTCTGTCTACTTAATTACTATTCTTTTCGCTATTTAATAATGTTTTTCTTTTTCTTATATTATTTCACACTCAGTAATCCCCTGCGTCTAAGTGGCTTTTGATGAAATGATTAAAAAAAAAAAAAATGTATAACTTGCTTTTGAGCTTTTGTAACAAACACATATATACAAACATCGGAGACTGAAATGGAAATGTAATTGCTCCTGTTATAACATTTTCACGCTTGTAAGTAATCTGATAATAAATTCAAATATTACGTTTGTGGAACACAGACTTTGTTTTACATCTTTACTAGTTTTTTTTTTTTGTAAGTTTCCTACATTTCACTTTTAATACATCGTCTGATGAAACGAAAAAACCCACTTAAAAAATTCTTCTTTTAAAGTTGATAGGATCTGTGAATATTGTCATAACCCAGTCATCTGTTTTCGTAGTAAGCGAAGTTTAATAAACAAAAATATATGAAAAACAAAGAGTAATATGAATTAGTCTTACTCATAGTGGTAATAGTTCCGTATTTTCCAGTTCCAAATGTTGGTGTATGACTCTAGTTAAAAGAAAAGGGTGACACTGTATTTTATGGCATATAAGGCATCCACTATTTACATTACATCATTCAGTATTAGAGACTTCCTGGTAGTCTATGGCGTTTGAATAAACATGAAGCTAAGAGTTATCTCCACTTTGGATATAAGACACGAGAGATCATTCTTGCTTTATTAACTTGCATTGGTGATAGAAGTTGGTTCTATCATAGTTCTGAAAATAGCTGTTTGTTCTAAAATGCTTATGAAATCATGAGGTGAAAAGACTGGCTATATTCATTCACCCCACCACGAGGGTGTCATGTGGCACAAGGCCTTTTTAACGTGGGCTTTCCGAGCCATTAGGCTCGGCCAAAAAAATAGCCCATTGAACCCGTATAAACGGATTCAGGGCCGGTTTTACCTCCCCGAAGGAAACTCCGCCCTTCGGCGTAGCCTCCTTCGGGTTCCTCCCGTCCGTAGGAAGAGAGTTTAACCGAACAGTCGGTTCAGACTTGAACGACTGACTCAAAAAAGGTGAAAAGACTGACAACGTGAAAGAGATGTCTACAACAACTGTAAAAAGTATTTTTAAAGACTTACATATGAAAACCAATTAAGAATTAAGTAAAATCTTAACAAAATATGCTGTTATTTTTAAGACATGATTAAAGTAATAATAATGCGGAGTAATTGCTTATGAATTACAACGCAATTTGTAATAAAATTAAATTTCGGGCAAGAGTAGATGTGTTTGGTAAATTAAAGTGGAAATTATATAATATGACTATTTTTAGCATTTGTAAAATGTAATTTAATAATTTAAACAAGGCAATACATTTTATGTGATGTGCGCGTCATGTAATGGCTATCTGTTTAAGAAATAGAATCGTGGATCTAGGTTCAAATCCAGGGCTATTTTGTTGCGTTCACTTTCGTAAAAATATCTTGGGAGTGACATTAATTGGCCTCTTCTTCCCGTTCCCTAACGCGGTTAGAAAAGACTGGTTGGTAAATATTAGAATAGAAGGAAAACTGCGAATTTAGAACCGTAGAGAAGGCAAGGAGAAACCAATTCGATATAATTCCTAATAATGCAAGGATTTTGCAGACAATAAAGAAAAGGAATCCGTGGAGAGCCATGATCGCTTATATCCTGAAGTGACATAACATTAGAAAATTAATCCATGTTATGACTTACACTCTCAAGTAATATCCCCCTCTACTGACTTAAGTAAAGCCCTTAAGAATTCAGCATAGTACCCCAAGGAGATGTTACGTCATAAATTAATATGATTTGACCTGTTTTATATTAATCTTTATTTAAATAGAAAATTAAATCAAATTTATTTTATCCTTATTAATCTAACATTATTATTGCATTTCCATAATGACCATTTAGATTGCTAAAGTGTTGTATGTGTGACAAAAATAAATATGTTGTGTTTTAGCAAACTAAAGTCGTATTTCCCAAGTAAAACGAGGGGAAAATCTTATAGACATGACTTCGTGACAATCAGGAGAGTGTGTCAAGAAACTGATCCCAAAAGCAGTTTGATGATGATTTAGTAGAATCGATAGAATCTTGCATTCAGCATATCTTCACTGATTTTACTGCGTCTGCGTAACTGAAAAGAGCAGTAGATAGATAGATAGATAGATAGATAGATAGATAGATAGATAGATAGATGGAGATGGAGAGAGAGAGAGAGAGAGAGAGAGAGAGAGAGCAACTGAGAAACAAAATCGACCGATCGTTTATACAGTCCGACCGATGTCTGGTCTTGAAGAAGAAGAAAATTGCGAATGGATGAAGTCAAGATCCATTTATCTTTATTACGGCCGCGTCTACATAATCTCGGTTAGTGGTGACACGCAGTTTTCAATGGCAGTGATTACCGACCAATATCATATTAGATGCCAATGCTTGGCTTGTCTGCTTGGGATAAAAGGTTGTTAGAGAAGATGGTAGTGATGGGTCAGGGTTATTAGGGTTTGTGTCGTGAGTTGGGTGTTATAGAGGGGTAGTCGAATGGGTGCTGGAGACGTCTGTGTTAGTAAATTATACTGAGTAGAGGTGTTTGACATGCACGCCAGCAACGTGTTGAATCAACATCAGCGGCTCTATCCAGGTATTACTAAGTAAAAACAGTAACCTAATTTCGATAGTCTTTTAAAAACCTTTTAAATCTACTAACTCATCAGAGATTCGAACAAAACCTCTACTGATATTTACTTAATAGTGGTCAAAGCAAAATATTGAGGATGAATAGGAATAGAGATGAGAGATTTGTGTTGCGCCAGTCTTACTTTTCACTTTGAAAATCTACATTCGGAATCGTGAGTAGAATTCAAGCTGTGACAATCCTGAGCAGCTATCAAACCCGCCCTAAATGGAATATAACTTTAACCTAGCTGAGTGCAGTCAGGCGTGACAAGAAGTCGCAAAGGTTTCATCATCATGCAGGTAAGGTCTAAGGATCCAAGTTTTTCCAACAGGTTTGTCTCAATTGATCACAAGGAATTAAAGCATTGATTCGAGAATTTGGAAACTAATTATTAGTTTAAACTCGGGGCCCAGTAGATGGAATCAGTGGAAATAACTGAGAATTCCTAACGTGAGATATCCCGAGACATGACCAGCGGAACGAAAACAATTTACTTCGGTAGATTAATCGAAGATTTCAGTTTGAAATTCCCTAATGGTTACGCGGACCTGATGGAAGTCGGGAGTCATAACGGTCGAAACGCTGTGATAATAAAAATAAAGCTGCGTGTAAATAATTTAACTAATCTTTTAAGATTCATTATTAGAACATGTAGAAATATATCGATCAAGTTTATACTGTTGTTTTATTTATATTTATTTTTTTTGTATTGATCACCGTCGGGAAATGTCTGCAAATATCACTGCGGGTTGATGTAAGCGTTATTTTAACTGAGTAGACAAACCTAATCCTAAGCCTTCGACGGCTGTGCTAGCACGAAACCACAAGTCATCATGACTGATGTTTTAAGTGTTACTGACCTGGTTCAAACTGATCATCCAAGATTATATGCTCCAAGAGAAACTGTAACATGTGTCAGCTCAGCCTATTTCCAGTCTAAGCTACATGGTTGCTCTGTGCGAGTCAGCGAAACACAAATGGTCTTGAGAAGGTGTCTGCAACAGTATAAGCTAGTCACTCTAGCAGACTCCATAGTCTGTTGGATTACTTTTTTACCTATTAAAACATATATTTGCTCTGTCCCGGGCAAACATTCTCACCGAGGAATCTACGAAATTATATTAAATATGGAGCAACGTATGGGGGAAATGATGACGTGAACGTGGGACTTGATCGATATTTTTTTACGGCTCATCAACCCTTTACGGGTTATTTAAAGACGAATTATATACCAGATTGTTGGAGGTTGCGTACAGTACCTGATGTTCACAAGTGGTCTCCCAATTAAATACCGACCGGGGTCGATGCCGCTTAACTTAGGTGATTGAACAAGAACAGATGTTTTCAACGCCTGAAAGAGAGAAGTTAGTATGTAAGACAACTAGAGAGAAACAAAAAGAAAGAAAAAAGTGAAAGGAAAAACAATATATAAATAGAGGGGGGGGAAAGGATGGAAACAAAAGAAAGATACGAAAAGACAAATTTTTGGCGACATATTCCGAGATAATGCGGAGATGATTAAAAGATAAGTTTGCATTATAAAAATAATATCCCTATTCTGTAAGCCTTGCATTAAATCCTGAACGATAATCATCAATTTATTTCTGATTTTCAAAACATGCATTTAAAAAATGGAAATTGTTTTTTTTTTAAAGAATATTTGTCAATGTTTTCAGAATCAAATTGATATTTGTAAATCAACTTCCCATTGCTTGCTGATATTATGCCGTCTTTCCACGTTTCTCTGCCATTTCTATTGGCTCTAAAGACACTTTATCGCCGACCTTGAAACTTTTGGTATAGTTTTTATTATCCGATCATGTTTGTCAACTTGGTAATAACTTATCAAACACCGATTTTATTTTCTTAGCAAACATTAATTCCTCGATATGCCTGATGTTCTTTTGGGGTTAAGGTGTTACACGAAAAACTCTCAGAAAATTATGAAATACTTTCTCATTTTCTTTCTCAAGACTTGCTTTCTTCAACGCTCTTTTGAACGTTCCTACAAAACTTTATTCTTGTCCATTCGACCTGTGCTGTGAATAGTACCCTCCGTTTGGGCTTAAATACTTACGTCGGTGTTAAAAATTCAACTTGATTTTGAACACCGACCCAGTTCATTTGAGAGAACATCTGGAAAATATTTTTTTTACTTCTTTCTTAAGATTTTCGCTCTGACTTTTTAAATTGGTCGATTGCATACTTAAATTTTTGCAATTAACGTTTAAGGCAAATTCCAAAATTCAAATAGTTCCATCTAGTCAGTACCAAATAAACCCCACCAAAAAAAAAGTAGCAATTTCTCATCATAAACTGAAATCACGACTTTGAAAGTCCTTTTTAATAAAGGCTTTCCAATTTCCTTCTATGTGGTTTCACTCATTACTGAAATATCAGTAGCAGTGTCCAGTAGCATTTTCACATCCACAATATTTAGTTTGCACATTAACAAATTTCATTTTGTTTTGTGTCCATTTTTCCGTCGCAGTGCTGTATGCAAATTTCTTCATGTGAGAATTTTTTCTTGGTTTGGTTTTGCAGTGTGACATTAGATGTCCTCTTTTACCCTCCCCCCCGCACTTGCAACATTCTGCATTTTTAAATGGACAGTCGTTTCCAAAATATAATTTACCCCATCTGAAACAAGGATTTATTCTCATTTTTGTACATCCGTCCTTTGCTTGTACCAATGCACGTTCCTTTTTAGTGAATTTCTTTAGTGTCGTGTTTCAGACTTAGAATTTTCTAGCCATCGTCATCTATTTCTTGACGTATTTTGTTCAATTTTCGTTAAAATTTTCAGTCTTATTTCAGCATCTTTTATAGCTGTTCAACCTTTAAAGAAAATTAACCCTTCGAACATATCTGGAGTCATTTCCTTTATTCTAAACTTTTCACATTCTTTGTTGAGCATACCAGCTTACGTGACAAAATTTTCGTCCTCTATTTTGGTAAGATTCAATCACCTCCAACGATTATTAATCAGAGAGCTCTTCTCACTAAAGATTTTCCTCAGACTGTATATCCCGGCTTCAAACCCGATTTCTCCTGTTTTTTTTTTCTTTGCTATTATGTAGTTGTAGTATTTTTCATATTCTATCGGAGCAACAACAATCTCGTTTTTTCTTATCTTCCCAGTCGCTGCATTCCTGACTAAATATTTGTTCATATCTACGAAAATACGAAGAAAATTTCAGTCCTAATCAGGATTGTATACAAATTCTGATAAGATGTTTTGGACAGCGTCTAATGTAAGAGACGTTGAGAAATGTTTTGCTTTCTTCAGAATTATATCCAACAACTCCTGTTGTTGTTTTTGTAGTTCTAGCAACTGCTGATTTTGTTGCTCTTGGTGTTTCATTTTTTTTTTTTTGAATTTCAAATATTGAAGTAAAAAATTGCTCCATATTGCAAGAATATATTTTCTTTCTAGGCCCAATTGATTTTTTCCACACAACAAGTTTTAAAAAAAAAATAACGTGATTAAAATGTTTGTCCTCACCTGTATCCTTGTCCAAGAAGCAACTAGTATTTTTTTCATACTTATTCACTCAGTATGAATTTCGCAAATCCTTGTATTACAGTTACAACTCGTAAGAGATTTTGAATCATCGTTACTGTTATAAATCGTAAGAATTCCGAATCCTCGTTAAAACGGTTATAAATCGCCTGAGTTTCGAATCGCTCGTCGCCATTGTTATAACGCGCTTCAAAGCGCTTCTCATATAAGTAATGCATCGGCTATTTGCTTTAACGCCTGTATTAATTAGTCTGAAAATTGACTACAAATGGTTTTCTTTCTTCCGTTCCTCTGACCTGGAGTTCTTCATACTTATGGACTAGTTCATATTGTCAGCGGTGGTGTACTACTTACTCCACAGCACTGTCCAAACATTTTTGTAAACGCCCCCAATTACAAATTAAATTTTGAATATTATTCTGAATTCATATTTCATAGCAAGATAATGCTTAGGTATTAGTGCAAAAATAATTTTAATATTGTTTTCATTTCTATTGTAAATGCCACTGATGAAAATACTAACAAGAACTTTTTTATTTCATAGCTTACCTCAATGCTTTCAATGCAGTGGTTGATTTTTGTGCTTACTGACCAAGTCTCTTACTCTAAGTTCAATGTTGCTTAAAAGTAATCATATATCTCCTCGTTTTATAATTTGCAAGTGGTTTCTTTGTTTAGTACGAAGCCGTGTAACTGCATTGAAACCACATTCAGCCATTTAGGAAGTTGGAAAAGCAATGAAGAAAAGCTTGAAAGCTTCACACAGCTTTAGATAACTTTCAAATATTTGCTTTTGTAGCTAATATTGAATATTTTTTGAAAATTTGAAAAGAAATCGGTAAATTCACACCGCCTCTTGAATATTTTCACCACACCAAAATGTAATAAGAACTCTGTGTACCAGTTTCAACATAACAGAGCCTAAAAGGGATCGCCTGTGTACTCATTGGGAAACATTGATATAAGCTAATACTCAAATTCTATTGTGAAAATATTAACTTGCATGAGAAAATGTGACGTAGTAAAAACAAAATTAAAATTGAATAATCACTAATGATAATATTCGTTCCATCAGAAACATTTTATTTTATTAATGCAAAAAATGAAAAATGCAAAGACGAGAATTATCACAAAATTGTGTAGACAGTAAGAACAAATAGTTTCGTATTTACACGTTTCGTATTTAGACGCTACTAAAATGCAATTGACGTTTCATTTTACTCGTAATTATGCTTTTCCTATTTTCGATAATAAGAAATCTTAAGGTTCATTCATTACTTTGGTGATTTCCTTAAGAAATATGATATCAAAGGTTGCCTAAAGGGGCTCACATTTATGCAGCAAGTTATACACGAAGAGTTATTTTGTATAAGTATTGCAAGGAGGCGATTTTAGAAAATACTATGTTCTACGATAGAAATTCTCTAGAATCCATTGACTTGGTTCTTATTACTACGAAAAAATAATTTTTAGATTTGAAAAATTCAATAAATTATAATTATTTCATAAAAAACGTTAAACTGAAAAATGTGGATCCAAAAGTTCATAGACTGTTAATTTGTGTTGAGATTAGATCTGATTTTTCCACTGTATAATAATTAATCTATGTTGTTCTTTTAACAAATTCATTTTACTTCATGAGACAACGAGCTTATTGATGTACTATGTATATATATATATATATATATATATATATATATATATATATATATATATATATATATATATATATCTTGATTTATACGTATTCTTTAAGTGTGAAATAACCCTAACAAAGAAAAAAATGAGCTGTTCTATTTCTCTGTTTCGAGAGATGTGTTACATCCTACGTTTTGTCCAAATTCCACGAATTGTTGGTAGCAACACATATCTGTGACCATGATAGATAGATAGATAGATAGAAACAGACTGAGGTATCTATCTATCTACAGATAGATAGAAACAGACTGAGATAGATAGACAGACAGATAGATAGATAGATAGATAGATACATACATACATACATACATACATACATACATACATACATACAAAGATAAACAAAGAGAGAGAAGCCAAATTCTAGATAAGAAGAAATATCATCCAACATGAAATTCCTTGCACATCCCATTCTGCTCAATTCTATAAAGAAAAGAACGTTTCTCTAACGTTTGATCGACAATAACTCATTTTTATTTTTGTTTCAGCCTTGACAAGATGAACTGCACGCCTTAACGGAGCGCCTGCGCAAAGTGACGATATTTTCTTTTCTTCTGATTAGCTAAAAGTCTTTAAGAAAACAAGCCCGACACCGACGACGGTCATGATCCCTGTACGATGAGTTTAGCTTAATTTGATAAAATAATCCTGCATGATTAAGAGATATGAGACTCTTATTAGGCCACTCAAGTAGTTTTTCGTTTTTGAGCCGACCATGATTAGTTCAGAAAGGCTCAAATCAGCGCTCAAACCCTGTTCTTCGGTCAAAGTTGGTTATAAAACACATTTATCATTGTTTAGTGTTTACTTAACGTCCTGTGCGAGTCACTGGTGATTTATATGTCTTCCCGCTTTAACCTCCTGTGTATCTCACAGAGGGAGGGAAAACAGTGGAAATAAAGGAGAGGAGGCAAACAGTGTGGCAAGGGTCTGTCCAGGTTGAATTAATGCTGCTATGATTATTTTCCTCTACTTTCGAAAATATCAAGTGAGACGGAAAAATCCTTAAAACAGTTTTTACTTGTAGGGAATGAATTTGATTTTAAAAAGTTGAAATATTATTCATTACTTTTTTATTCGGATATTCCTTCAGGTTAATATAGTCATTTATTTATTTATTTATTTATTTATTTATTTATTGTTGGGCAACAGTAAAACGATGATCTTACGAGGAAAAATGTGACTGCATCATCCGTTGAAATATGTTAGGGAAATCTTAGAAGTGACATTGAAGTGAACACAACTTTTTATTATTTGTGTAATCATTTAACGACATTACGTTGTCACTTAGCTGATTGATGTTATATTCAGTACCTCGAATCCAGAGTTTCGTAGACGAGGCTTTTTGTAATCGTTCTGTCCACTCGTCGGAAGATTTTTGTTGAAAACAATTATAAATAGTTTTATCCATGCTCACCATCAGACGGGAGAATGTGTTAAGAAACAAGTGTATAAATACATACACTTAAACTTATTTTGCCAGCAAATTTGGATAACTTAAATTAATCCATCATTAAAATTTTTCAAGTTGTAGAAAAAAAAAATTTGCATAAGGCGTACGCATTAAAACTAATTAATATTGCTTTCTTAAAAACATATTCTGAAATAAATAAAATTTTAACTAACGAACTTAATTTTTTTTTTCGACAGTGAACTTTAATTTGAATTTAGATAAATAGCTGATATGATTTCAATGTGTGGAGAATTATAAATTATAATTATGCCAGGGTTGTAGTAGGGACAAGCTGCCATTGTCTATAAAATGCTATGATGGTATTCTTTACAAATAACGTCTGATAACTAAATCCATATCCAAACCGGAGAAAGTGTGAAGATTGATCATAACCATCTGTTTTTGGTATATTTCGACAGCCCGGAGAGGCAGTCCATCTCCGAGAAGGAAAATCTTTATTTTTAAACTAACACTGCGATATCCAAACACCAAGAAGTCCATGGAAGTAAAACCAGAAAGAAAATCCGGAGTGTAGCCTCGAAGGTGGTCATCAACACTTATAACATTCCGATAACTTCGGTAATCAAGCTGGCCCCAAATATAATGCCCTGTATTTCTGTGAATCGTGTCGCTAGGGCCGAGAGGGAAGCCATTTGATCTGGGCAGCGCACAGCCTCCTTATATCATAGATTGGGCTAGCTCCCTGGAGTGGTCACTCTCATCTTACCACCTGGTGAGCGCACAAAAGGATGGAAACAAGGCGCTCTGATTATCTGATTAGATAAACGGACGCCTACAATAATTTTAAGAAAGTAGACATTTCCTAGTGTACTTGGATTTGCATAAGATTTCATTTATTTTTATAGAAAATCGTTAAGGTGAGGATAGGTGTTAAAAGCTAGTCTCATCTCCACGAACATTCAGCACAAATTAACACCTGTATCGTATCTGTTTTACATGTTACCTTCATGTTTTCAGATATAATCTGACAATTAATTAGAATGTTTGAATTTTCATGAAGAAAAGACTAATTATATTTATAATACCATCTTTTAAATGGCTCTTCTTTAGATCCTATAAATTTCATGTGTTCTTCCTTACCGATGTTTTCTTTCTTTTTTGCTTTTCTCGTTCTGAGTTTCGTTCTTTGAATATCGCCCATAATCTTTATTAATCATTCAAATTGATTCCGAGGATAAATGTAACATACAACTGCGGATCTACTCACTCACTCATTGTGAATACGATGGTCTCAAAAGCTCACTCAATGAAACTCAGTGCCGAATGAGAAACCTCATTGGAGAGTATCTGTTCAGACATGTGTGGTAAGCTACTCTCTGAATGTTTGCCAATTCCCATCAAGGCCGTACAAAACGGATTGATACTTTCCGAACAAGCCATATATCAATGTATTTCTTACGTCTAGGCTTCTCTTCTTAATCAATCGAAAGTTACTGGTCATCATATGTCAAATATATTGCGGGCCGATCGAAAAAAATGTAATAAAACATTTGTAAACAACAATAATTAGAATGCCAGTCACAAATATCGTCTCATTATATCAATATTTAATGTGTCGTTTGTTACAACCAAGAATAAAGGGCTGAGATGAGGAGTATGAAGACTGTGTAACGCCAATCTTTCATATGATATCAGCCTACTTGTTGTGAAAATCGGCATTCGAATCTTAATTTTTTACTGGATTCTGAGCATAGATCTTTTGCAATGATTTAAAAGACGTCACCATTTCAGCGACGTCGCAGAATAAAATCATTCGGCTGTCTTAGAATGTTTCATGTAATCAAAATGATTTCTCTTACTATGTTAAATGAGACCTCACTGCTGAACCATTTTCACAAAACATATATATATATATATATATAGAGAGAGAGAGAGAGAGACAGATAGATAGATAGAGAGAGATAGAGCGACAGATAGATAGATAGATAGATAGAGAGAGAGAGAGAGAGAGCGACAGACAGACAGATAGATAGACAGATAGAGAGAGAGAGCGACAAATAGATAGATATATATAGAGAGAGATAGAACGACAGACAGACAGAAAGATAGATAGATAGATAGATAGAGAGAGAGATAGAGAGAGAGATAGAGAGAGAGAGATAGAGCGACAGACAGACAGATAGATAGATAGAGAGAGAGAAAGAGAGAGATAGAGCGACAGACAGACAGATAGATAGATAGATAGATAGATAGAGAGAGAGAGAAAGAGAGATAGAGCGACAGACAGATAGATAGATAGATAGAGAGAGAGAGAGCGACAGACAGACAGAAATACATAGAGAGAGAGCGACAGACAGACAGATAGATATAGATAGAGAGAGAGATAGAGCGACAGAAAGACAGATAGATAGATAGATAGAGAGCGACAAATAGATAGATAGAGAGAGAGCGACAGACAGGCAGCTAGATAGATAGATAGATAGATAGAGAGAGAGAGAGAGAGATAGATAGACAGACAGACAGATAGATAGATAGATAGATAGATAGAGAGAGAGAGAGAGAGATAGAGCGACAGACAGACAGATAGATAGAGAGAGAGAGATAGATAGAGCGACAGACAGACAGATAGATAGATATATATATAGAGAGAGAGAAAGAGTGACACACAGACAGATACATAGAGAGAGAGAGAGCGACAGACAGACAAACAAATAGATAGATAGATAGATAGAGAGAGAGAGAGAGCGACACACAGACAGACAGATAGATAGATAGATAGAGAGAGAGAGAGAGAGAGAGAGAGAGAGAGAGAGAGAGAGAGAGAGAGAGATGACAGATAGACAGATAGATAGATAGATAGATAGATAGATAGATAGATAGATTGGCACACTTTAGAAAAATACGATGACACTGATATTTAATTTATGAGAAGACAAAAAATGTACAGCCGGCCAGTTCTTTGTTTTGTTTTGAAAATCCCTTCGCACGTTTTATATGAATTTAAAGATCGGCTTATCGAGTACGCGGGAAATACACAATTGATTCAGTTTTCAGACGTTCAGATAAACCCAGAGATAATGACTTTAAGAGAAAAAATCGCTCAGATGCTTTAATAATTAAGAATACATTATAAAAAATCATAGCCGTGGAGAAATAATTAGCAATGGTCTATAGTGAGTTTTATATAAACTAAACATCTGTTCTCTTGTAGTATACTAAACATAGCTTTGTAAATATCAGTAACGTAATGTATGATAATTTCTGTTATTCGGGAAACTGATCGTTTTAATATCATTCTTTTCTTTTATTTATATTAAGCATGAACAAATATTTTCAGCGATAAATCGATTTTCATCTGTACAGTTTTCGAAAAACAATAGTGCTGTAAAATGTTACACGTAACTAATTTTTTTCACTGTTGTTGCTATACGTGTGACATTGTTTCCTCTTTTTTATATTAATGTTAAACACTGTAAAATTGTATGGTAAACAGATACGTTTCTATTGCAGCCAAAATAGGAAACTAATATCATCGAATGTCACAACGTTATATACGGGATGTTTAGAAAAAATGCGGGCGCTAAACTTAGCGCTTATATCTTTTTTCTGCTATAGAATTCCCTGACGGGCGACACCATAATACATCATTTAAACACGAAAACCCGCAACCACTTCAAGATTTAACAGTTCATTTTTTTTAAATAATGATAATTTGAATGCCAAGTGAATTAATTTTGTTCAATTCTATTTATTCTTAAGTAGATTATGTGACAAGGCAGCTGCTTCTTTCTTTCGGAACATCGTTGTTAATGATATTAACGAAGAGTCAACCATTATATGTTTTACGTTAAGTTCGATACCAATGTATAGGAAAATGAGAAATAACATTTTGTTTTAAAATTGAGAAGGATTTTTTTTCTAATTGTTTTTCTTTTTCTTATATTTGTTAAAATATTCCAGAATATTTAAAGATAAAAAATAGGGATAGCGTACAATATCTATCTTCATTCCTTAAAATCAGAAGGAGATAATTGAAATCTCACGCTCACAAAATGAGGAAAGAAGGCCGTGAAAATTAGACACTCACAGGGCATTCCGAAGACAGTTGTGCCAGAGCGAATTATCGAGTAATCTACCTTACAATTTTGTGCAAATGCATGGTTGAACAGGGAGACAGGAGAAAATAAAAAAACAGACATTGCTAAGAGCTAAATAGTTATTGATAGCCATAATCACTTATGCCTTAATTGGGTTCAACAAAAAAGGATAAATCCAAATTATTTTCAGAAAATGACCGCATTTCGTGTGTTCCTGATATTGTTACACTAAAATCTCAGATTATGCATTCGACAACTTTCTTCAAATATCTATTTGTGAAATATTAATAACTATTTTTCATAATTCTCTACTTTATTCAAAACCGGAAAAAAATTCTCCTCGAACATTTAAGAGAGAATTAAGTATCCATTTTGCATCGTGGTCAGCTTTTTAATTGCAAAATCTTCAATACCCACTTGAAAATGACATTTAAATATTTAGATACAGAATTATCATGGTAATCATCTGATTTATACAGTGCCACACAAACGTTTACAACACATTACAAAATTGATTTTTTTTTGGTGGGGGGGTATTTCTAATACAATTACATTAATTAAACTTTTACTGCTCGTAGAACATACATTTAGATATTTTGGAGAGAGCTGAAACTGAGAATTCAAAGAAGGAACCCACAAAACCAGCAGGAACTAAAAAAATTTTGTCATGAAGGATAGAAAAATATTAGCCAAGAAATATGTAAGAAATTCCTAAGAGACTACTCTAACCGCCTCCATGCTATAATTAGCAATAACGGTTACGCTAAGAAATATTAATAGCTGATTAAATACATGTATTGTAAACTTTTGCGTCATTAATTATTGGATTTTCTTCGTGGGATATTTTTATTGATTATTTTTTTGAAATCTGATTGTTTGATTAAAAGCTTAAACATATATATTACTAGCAGGAAAAGTTTCATTAATCTGTGTTAGAAAAGAAACATTTTTTGTTATGCGTTGTAAACTTTTGCGTGGCCCTATATATCTTAAAATAACAGACTATTAAAAAAATTGAATTATTTGTTTTTGAACGGATTATCAATTTTTGTGAGTTATTTAAAAGTCGAAGCATATTTTTTGGATTGGAAGAATAATGTTTTTTGTGAGTTATTATTGCGTAACCAATTTTTGTAGATAACAATGATATTGCTAGATGCAAGTTTTTATTATTTAACCCATAGCTGGAGGAGATGCAGTCATAACTTTCGAAAGAATATCTCTACGTAAATGAATGTAACGAACTCGACCGGAATTCGAACTGGCCTCTACGATTCCTCATTCTGAGAAAGTATCCATTGCATCACACCCACATCCTTCCTGTCATCAAAAAAGAAAATGCTTTTTCCTTCATGAATGCTTATTGATAATAGGCAAATAATTTTACAAGATCGTAGACTAGTAATGAAAAGAAAAGAAACAAAATACGCGTTTATTTTTCACATTAATATTTACTTTTAAAATAAATGTCCTTCTTTATCAATGCATTTAGTATATGCCTTCATTAATCAAATCTATTGAAATTATATAATGCCAATTACTAATCCAATTTCTACAAACAGCACTACCAGGCTACGGACGTATTTATTCAAACTGTAACAGATGAAAATATGTATGTCACACAACTAGGTACCTCCCAAAATCTGCTTGGTATGTAGGATATATGATTTTTTTTTAAATCCTGAAACATGAAAAAACATTATCGTAAATACTTTTGTACAATTTCTCAGACGAAAAAATCAAAGATCATATAAAATCTATATTTTAGTCTTTGTAGTATCCAGAAAATTTTGGTTATATTTTTTGCGTGTGTGCACGTCAAAGCGGGACATTGCATTTTTACAAGAAATTTGATCGTTTTTTTTTTTTTTGCGCTGAAAACACATTGATTGGGACTTCCTTCAAATATCAGATAATTGTCGGTTTTTGACGAAACCTTTAGGACTTGTACCATTGTGTGAATTAATTGAAACAACCGCTTCCATTTTCTGTATTTCACCATAAGGTTAGTTTTAGACCCACTGTAATGACAGTGTGTAATCGATTTCTATTTTTTCCTCAGATTATTTTCGAGGTGTATGATGAAATCCGTTTAGCCTTGAAAAATATTGCGCCATTCATAATTGCATCAGATTTTTGTCACGCCCAGACACTATTGTCTCAATTGTTGATTAGTTGTCCTTTGGCCATAGAATGCGACTCCAAGTAAGCGTACGGATATTGTAACACTGTACAAACACTCTGGCAAACCTTACCAGTGAGCAAATCAAAGTGGTATAGACTAGCCCGGAAATTCTTCTGATTTAAATGCAATTGAGAATCTGTGGTTAATCTACAAGAAACGACTTCGTGGAATGGACACACGAAGTACTAACATGGGCACTGGGTCATGTTTCATTGGAAAATACGAAAAAAAGTAAATAATAAGGGAATTATTCGTTTTCTTTCAACTAATTTGCACAAAGGTTTGTTCAGAAATTAATAAAATTATTGAAATGTTTCTTTTCTTTCAAACAATCTTTGCATATTTTAATCTGTTATGCTAATCCACTCATTTGATTTTATGAGATTTCGAGAAATTTCTTCTTTGTCTCGCAAAATTCTAAATAAAACATCAAGAATTCAATAAAAAAATCTTACCATTAAACGAAAATTTTCTTGCAGTCTGCAGAATTTTCAGGAGTTCTGCTTGTATTTTCAGCTGCATCGTTTTCACTGTTCATCTGTCGAAATCTGAAACATCTATCTAAAATTCTGTCATTAAATCTTCCTCCAAAGCTTCGTTCATCATTGGAATTGTTTTCAAGGGCAAAAGTAACGCACGTTCGCCGAGCTACTTCCTGTTCATTGCGAATATAACAATCAGACGGTTCATAAAGTCAGTGAATGTTTTTCAATGTCGAATGTGTCTTCTGAAGAAGATTATCTGTTCACGCTTCTGCTGTATGGTTCTCTTTAATTAGTTGCGGACTAAATATATATCAATGTACGTCCAGGCTGCTGTTACGATATATTTGACGGTTACTGGATTTCATATGCCAAACATATGGATATCAATATTTACATTATTGACACGCGGACGCTTCGCTAGTTGTGCCCTCGGACCTTCAGCAGGATCCTCCACTCACTATTTACAATAGCATAACAGATTTACGTTTGTACTTGAATTTTGTGATTGTGCTTGAAAATTGGGAGTTCAATCCCCGGGCTGAGCAGTGTTTACATGGATTGAGTGGAAACTGGGTGAGTAATAACTGAGAAGTACAAAAAAGAGAACAATTCCCTTACTCGTAGATTAAACAAAAGGTTCAGTTCGAAATTCATTGCAGTTTACCAGGACCGAATATTATCTGACGAATGTCAAGCCGACCGAAACGTTGTGATAATCTTTAAAAAAAAAAGGTAGGGAAAATAGTGTGTATACAAATAATGAAAATAATAGTAACTCGTCATCCCAGGAATTCACATAGAAAATATTTATAAAAATGTGTGTTAAAAACAGCAATGATGAGAGTGTCAGTCGGGAATATCGCTTCGTTGACTCAATATTTAATATGTTGCTTTTTACAGCACAAAATTAAAGGGTTGAGATGAGGAGTATGAAGACAATGTTACGCCAGTCTTTAAAATGAGAAAATCCTACCTTCCTATTTGGAATTCGGATATCTCTTTTTACCTGAGCTCAAGGACAGAACTCTGCTACCGATTTTTAAACTTATCAATATTTCAGCTGCGCGGCATTCTGCAATCACTGGTCTGATTTCTCTTAATGAGTAAATAAAATCAGGCCAA